TTATCTAAGTGGATTTGAACAAGAGCCTGGCCTACAAACACTTCCCAGCCCCGACTGTGGCAGAACAGCTTGCTGAGCAATTCCCAGCAAGGGCCAACATTCACTCCTCACTTTCCCAATCAGTGAAACAAGGACAGTGTTTTCCCAGCTCACAATCCTTGTGCACACAAACATTAGTAAGTACAGCCAGCAGCACACTTTCACACAAAAAGCCTTGCTCTGAATATCTACACTACAAGATACAATGCAAAAGTCACTGTGAGTGTGTAGAGCACCTACAAAGTCCACAATCAGAAAGTGCTCTGATGCCCTTTCAAGTTTGGGATTACAAGAAAGGACTCCAAGAGTGACAATTTGCAGGGCCATTTAAGGCTGAACAAAATACCACATGAACAGGCAACACCAATGATCCACCCTACAGAGAAAGGTGAAAGGAAAAAATCACTTACACAGCTGCATGAATAATTTATTGACTCTGAAACAACGCCATTTATTTCCTTCAATTCAGACACTGCCACTTAATACCATCATCCTCAGATAGAAGAAACCTGGAAATAAGTAAGAAATCTTCCCAAAGATTAATAAAATCTGCTGAAATTCTTCCAAAGAATTTATTTCTACACCACAGGAAGCCTGGGAAATTTCAGTCTGAATTTTGCGGCAACTGTAATAAAAGGATATAAAGAAACTTTGCTGTAATTGGAAAAAGAGCTTCTACTACCACACATTGATGCCAAAATATTTACAATGACATAAAGTCAATGTTTTATTTACTGGAATATTTTAGAAATTCTTTCACAACAATAATTTACCTTAAGCACACTTCATTATTAGACTTTATTAGAGCTCATTCTTCAAAACACAAAACTATTACGTTTTCAAGACTCTTCTCTTAACAACCTAAGCTTAAATCAGTTGCTGGTGAAGCAGGTAAGGAGATAATTCCCTGCACGTGCAGATGTAGGGGAATACAAGCCAAACAACATCTGTGTGCTTGGTAATTCTCAGCCCCACTCTAACATCACAGCTCAAGCAATTCTCTGCTGTTCCAGATGTACTGCACAGACACAAACATCTGCCAAGCCTAAGCAGGGAAAATGACTTCTCCTCATTTTCCTCATCTGCTTCCCCAGAATCTGCAGATCACCAAAGTGTCTTTGCCAGTCACATCCCACAATATCCATTTTTTTTTTATATTTAGCTACTGCAGAACGTCCCCATGTCAAGGTAATTTGTCAGACCCTCTCTAGTTTCAAAGCAACAAGAGAAACTTGAGATCTGTGTGTGCCCATGACAGCTCACAGACTATCGGTTTCCAAAACATGCTCTTTGTGCACAGTCTGACAGCTGGAGGCTCTGCTGAATCTTTATCATGCCCTAAGCTCAATTTTCAATGCTTTATAGCAGACAAAAGGAAAAGATGTCATCTAAGTGACAACAGGAGGATGGAAGAGGGTGAAATAAAGGGTTTCAGAGCTATGTTGCTTTTATCCTTATCAGGAGAATTTACTTTTGAGTCTCCACAAAAGATGCTAAGGCATCAAGGATGTGAACATTGAACACATGCAAGGCACTCTCTTCAGCTCTTTGTTTTCAGGAGCCTTTAGACAGTGCTTACTCTTGAACCATACATGAAACTCCAGCAGCCGCTTCACCAATGCCATAAAAGACAAAAAAAAAAAATCAGCTTTTCCTTTTCATGACACCCAAATGCACAATGATTTTTCCATACTCCACTGGAAGTTCACATTCAACTGCTTTTTCACTCTTTAAGTGATTTAGGACTCAGTCACAAGAAATAAAATTATGAAAGGGAAGATCAAAGAAGAAAGTGTGCAGGTATTGTTACTCCAGACTTTCTGATCAAGAGGTCTGCTGTAGGCAGCAACACAGACAATCCCTGCTGGCAAAAACAGAACTCCGTATTTTTGTTAGGACCCACGAACTCTGAAGACTTAGGTGGAGAACTTACTTTTATGAGAACCACAAAAACCTTTCCAAATGTCTTCAGCAGCCTGTTGTCCCAAAATAAGACAGGGATAAAAAGCGAAGTCGAGAGCTTTTTGCATTTTGATAACCCTGCTGTCAAGCCATGTTTGTTCTCAATGCTTAAGTAAACCCATATTTCACAGGGTCATAGCACTGCCAGCAGTTCCCTTTGCTGAGGCCAATGTCTGGATAACTAAGCCATAATCAAATGCAGAGAAGGAAGGGTTAGATGGTGCAGGTAATGGATTGTTTATTTCACAAGAAGCAGCTGGATGTTTTGCCTTGTGTAGCTTGGCAAAGACGGAGACTGAGCGGGATACAATGACTATCTACAGACACATCAAAGGAATAAATGCTGGGGAGGGAGGGGAGCTACTCAAGAACAATACTGGCACAAGAATTTAAGAGCATAAAACTGACCATAAATAAAATATGGAGCAGAAATCATAAAGTTTATCTTACAAAATACTTCCCTGTTATAACAGTGGAGGTAAAAACTTTCATCTGCTTTTACAACTGCGCCAGCTTGGCACCCACCACTGTCCTTGCACAGCAAAGAACCCAAATAAGAAGGCACACTGAGAAACAAGCAACTCTGAGATAAGCTGACTCACTACTCATTTCTGGAAGATACCATGCTGCCAGGCAGACAACAGCGAGACACAGTATTTGTTCAGTCCATAGTTTCAAAAGCAGCATTAAGACCTTATTAAGGAAAGCATGTATGTGCACAGAGAGCACCCAGCATCCAGCCTAAAGTGGCCTCCTCTCCACACTCCTGAATGTCGGGACAGCAGCCTAAGGAGCTGAGCCTCCACACAGACACATCTAATGCCAAGGATTTGGGGTGGAAAGCCCAAGTTTGGGACAGCCAGGGGCTGTCATTCCGCTCTCGGCCACCGGGTGTCGCCAGTGACCGCCCAGAGCAGCTCAGAGCGGGATTAGCGATTTACGCGATCCTTAATAAAGCACCAATATTTTATTTCCTCCTCTTAGAAGACCCCGTTCCTCAAATCAGACCGTTAATCAAAAAGCTCGGCCTTCTCTTAGAACTGCCTAGCACGAAAAAAGGAAGAAAAAAAAAAAAAAACCCAGCCAAATTCAACTAACACCACAACTTGTCTTTCTGAACCATCAGGGGTTAAAAATGTGCACGTTCTTTATTGAAGTCTCATTTGGTGACTTTAATCCACAGATTTCGATCATTCAGACTTCATAATAATGCGAGATGTGGTTCATATGTCCATGCAAGGCACACATGAACACACAGGGAATGACTGATTGTGCATTTGTATTTGCCCATCACCCAAACTTCCCAGGGAAGAGATGAACAAACCAAACCCAGCAACTACAAAACCCTTCCTCCCTCAATCTCTTACACTCATGTCTACCTCCCACAAATATTCCTGAAGCAGGAGTGCTCAATGCACATGCAAGGTAATAGCTGCCCAAGACATTAAACCACTAGAATTAGCTTCTCTTTAAATCTGTTTTTCTGCTGTTCAAAACTGAGTCATGTATTTCCTTAGATATCCTGACAGACATTGAATAAAGCAAAATCAAATCCTCTTACCCCCAAAAAACTCTTTCATAAACCGCATAAAAACTCAAATATTACTAGTAAGAACTTTGTTTCTAAACAGGAAATTTTGCTTTCACAGCTGCTTGTCCCTTCTGATTGCACCAAGGAGTAATAACACATAATTCCAACTCTTCCACTCATTCCCACAGCAACAAAGATACACAAATTATTATTATGAAAAAATCCTCAAATTATTGAGAAGTGAACAATATCTGAAGCTTCCTATTCCAGGTACTGCCAGCATACAACTCAAATTTGCCAATTTTAATTAAATGCTGGGCTGTCTTTTCACCAATTTAACTGCTCACCAATTGTACAGCAATTTTGTATCTTATTTTTAATGAGAAGCTGAGCAATAGTTTTTGCAGGAGGAAGAAGAAAGATCCCAGTAGTTATAGCGATGGTTTATGTTGCAAAGGATAGATGATAGATAGTAGATAATGTAATAGTCCTTCTGGACTTCAACACCTGACATAACCAGAATCAAAATTTATCAGACTGAAGAGTTTATAGCATAATATGAACTTGTTAAAATGGACAGCTGCAAATACTTGCTTCCTGCCAATACTTCTAAATTATTTTGACTGTTGAAAAGACTCATCCTGTAAGACCTAGAAACAAAACAGAAAACACACTCTATGTTGGGACCTTCAGAACAGCCTAATGGAATTACCCAGTGCTTGTGCTGCAATTTGAGTGTGATTTTTTACAGTCCTGTACACTGGCTTAGCTTCTTCTTTCCCACCCTCAATTCCTGCTTTGTTCTCACTGAAATAGTTTGTTAAAACTTGCATCAAAGTATCAGCTAAGGCAAAAATACATCATGGAAACAATTCAGCCAATCCAACATTTTGGCATCAGACATCCTTCACTCCCAGTCTAAAGCTTTATTTACCAAAGCACCCATCTCTACCCCATGTCCCAGTCCCTCCACCTTACATTCACTTAAGAAGCTAAAAAAGCACTGTATCAGTCATGTGCAGAACATATATTTAACTAATCAGCCCCAAACTAAATGCAGGAGGAAATAAGAAAGAAAAGTGCACCAGTGAGAATTTATGTAACTCTCTTGTGTTAACTCCTCCGTTAAAGAAAAGGGGACAGTTGCAGGGACACCAGAAGGGGAAGATCTAAGGGAGGGGTGGGTGGTGGGTCAGGCTGAAGGTCCCTGAGGAGGACAAAGTTGAGGTTGAACTTCCTAACCCCACACGGGATTGGGCAATACGCTCTTTTTCTGCCTTTCTTATGTCCTCCACTGCCCATCTTGCACCTGAACTGCTCTCAAGTGCAAAAGCACACTCCAAAACCTTGCCAAGTCCCTGATTTACAATTCTCAACACTTCTTTTCGATGCCTGGTGTGAAAGCCACTTATGGGCTTGTCCTCACACAGAAGAAGCTGTGCCCCATAAAAACCATCTTTTCACTCACCAAATAAAGCCAAGTCTTAGACTGTCTGCAGAGGCAGCTTGGTATCAACACAGCTGAGCAGCATGGTAGTGCTGATTTCCTTCTGTTTTTCCCATTTTTCTTTTTTTCCCTGAGAAAAGCTTGGAAATGCCATTATTTTTATACTTCCAGTAAAAAGCACAACAAAGCTGGAAAATGCTGCCAGCCGGTAACAACCATCCGAATCTCAGGAGACCTCCCACGCAGTCAGGTACAGATCACACCCCAGGGCTGCCCTGCAAAAATGATGCAGTGAAAGAAAAAAACATTTTTTAAAAAAATATATTGTAAGGTTGAGAGAATTGGGATTGTTCAGCCTGGAAAAGAGAAGGCTTTGGGGTGACCTAATTGCAGCCTTCCAGTACCTGAGGGGAGCCTGCAAGAGAGATGGAGAGAGACTATTTGCCAGATGCTGGAGTGACAGGACAAGGGGAAATGCATTCAAACTGACAGAGGGCAGGAAGAAATTCTTTACAGTGAAGGTGTGAGGCCCTGGCACAGGCTGCCCACAGAAGCTGTGGCTGCCCCATCCCTGGGAATGTGCAAGGCCAGGCTGGATGGGACTTGGAGCAACCTGGCCTGGTGGAAGGTGTTCCTGCCCATGGCAGGGTGGTTGGAATGAGATTTTAAGGTTCCTTTCAACCCAAACCATTCTATGATTCTATGCTCCTTTTTAAAAAAAAACATTTATAAAGCCACCTGAACATCATCAATCATCCCAAGCACAGAAGAACTCTTATGAAAGAGGCAGGCCACAGGTCAATGTTTGCCCAGGAATTCTGGGCCCACCTTTCTGTACAGAGCTGCCCTTGACCCCATAAAAAGATATCTGGAAGAAAACACAAACAGCTACACCAGTCTTTAACTCTGAACAAACAGAAACCAACATGTAAACTTAAAGCAAGCACCATGTAAAATTAGCACCCAGAAACCATGGGGTTCACATGGACACCAACCTGCTCAATTATTCTGCAGACAGCAACCAATATCTTCAAGGAGCTGCCCTGCACACACACTTCACTAAATCTGATTATTCTCTCAAACAGGAAACCCACTGAAAATATTAGGAAATAAAAGACATTAACATAACTTAATCCTGAAAACAAAATTTTACAGACTTGAAAACCAGCATACTAAGAAAAGAGCTTGTGTTTCTGTATTCTTTCAAATATGTAACACATGTCTAGGAAAAATTAATTTAGAATTATAGGATTATAACCAGTATGAGCTAGTAACATAACACAGAATTGACAATTCCACTCCCTGTACCTTGTAGGAAAAGTTACTTCTGCAACATAACATACTTTGAGATATCCGTTGATCATATAAAATATAATTTAAAGATAGGCATAGCATAGCTTTGGCAGTAGTTTCTGTAACTACTTTTTTATTCCAAACCATAGAAAAGTTTCTTTTCCTTTTTTCCCTCATGGGACTAAAACTACCAAACAAATAAACCAAACTGCAACTTTCATTTATTTTTCTGATCTTTTCCAGATTTGTTGGGGTGCGGGGTTTTTTTGTTGTTTTAGACTGTTACAATTATTAATAAAGATTCCCACCTGCACCGAACCTGGGTGAGGTCAGCTGGTGCTTACCAGCACAACTCCACAATACACACATTTTTTTGAATTACAGAACCATTAGGGCTGAAAAAGACATTTATGATCGAGCCCAGACATTAACTCAGCACTGCCAAGGGCACCACTAAACCGTGTCCCCAGCATCACACCCACATAGTTCTGAACACTTCCAAGGGACGGCGATTACAGCACTGCCCTGCCTTAGCCTGTTCCCTGCCGGTGTTCCTTACCCGGATCTTTATCCCGGTCGCGGTCGTGATCCGGTCCTTGTCCCTGTCCCTGCCGGTGTTCCTAACCTGGATCTGGATCCCGATCCCGGTCCCGGTCCCGGTCCCGGTCCCTCAGAGGGGCCCCGGCCGCTGCCGCGTGCGCGCCGCGCTGCCCCCGCCAGCCCCGCCCCCGCCGCCCCATTGGCTCCAGCGGCCGCCATCTTCCGTCCAGAGAGGCGGGGAAGGAAGCGACGCAAGGGAAGGGGATCGGTGCAAAGGCGGAGGGGGCGGGGCCAGCAATCGGCGCTGTTTGATTGGCTGGTGCAGGGAAGCCCCGCCCCGGGGCCGTGGTGCGGCTGCGCTCGGGCGTGGCGCGGGTGGAGGGCGGAGGGAGCCTGGCAGGGGAAAGGGGAACGGGAAAGGGGAACCGGGAAATGGGAATGGGGAAACGGGAACGGGGAACCGGGAAATGGGAACCGGGAAATGGGAATGGGGAGACGGGCTCCGGGGCACGGGGGCTATGGAGCCATGCAGGGCTGGCACACGGAGCTGCATCCTCCAGGAGAGCAGGAACACAGAGGATTATTTCCTAGGAGGGACCCAAACACGAAGAAGGACAAGAAGGTTAATTAGGTTTCCTTTTCCTTCAGTTTGCTGTTAGATTTTCCCAGGTCCTTATTTTTTTTTTTTCAGTTAAACTTCCAAATAGTATTTTTCTCCTTTTTTTTGCTTACCAATTACTAGGCTAACACATCCAGGCTATGAAAAGGAAGATGGAATAATTAACATATTCTTCTTTTAATGTTTTTTTTTAATATTGCCCCAAGTTTTGTAATTCAAAATTCCTTGTTCTACTCTGAATTTACTGTTCAGCACTGATGAGTAGCATTAATCCATAACTTTGGATGGATGTTACTCAGTGAAGAAAATAATTTGTACCTTTATTTTCATAGCAGTTCAAATCAGATATGGTTTTTTTTCTGATAAATGGTGTGAATAATAATATCATAGACAAACAAATAATTTCAAGACTTTTTTTTAAACATAGAAATATTTTCATTAGCTTAGTTTGCACTTCCATTTTTTAAAATTGAAATCTAAGCATTTGAGCTGACTGTGTAATGTTCTAGCCAGATAAAAAAAGCTTTAGCTAAACCAAATGACATGGTCAAGTTACATGGACAATGACCATAGAGCAGCATAAAAAACACCTTGTAGTTCAGTTTAATGTCACTTTAAAGCAGAAAGTCAATCAAAAGACTTCAAAATACAATTTCATTTGTCTGTCACTACCCATGTGCAAAATTTTAATTCTGCATGCTCCAGTGTAACTTATTTTTACTATTTCTACTTATGTAGGTATATAAATTATGTATGTATTTATCTTCTACCAGTGTAATTATCTTTCTGTGAGCAGAGATTACCCTTTTCTGGTGATAACATTTTGAGTGGTTTATTAGAACCAGATATTTGCATTCCTGAGGAGACACAGATGCACAGCTTACCAAACTCCCACCTACCATGAAAAAGTGTCCCCATTTTGTTTATTTTTGCTCCTTAACAGGTATTTGGTTGACAATTTTACAGTGCAGTGAATACAGAAAAATATCTAAATACATCAAAGCACAAAGACCCACATTACACACTTGTTTTCGTAGTAAATACTTTTCCCTCACTGTGAAGCCTCATCCTGCCAGAGCTGTCACCCAGAACTAAAGTCTGCTCACACTGGTGAGATTAGTTCTGAAGATTTCCAAACAGGAGGCAGATGATTTCACTGAACACACATATAATATGCATTATAAGGCCGTATTTCAAATGTCAGTATTACAATAATATTTACAGCTGGTAGTTTTTCATCCGAGTTTCCTGGGGCAGTTGCCATGAATTCATCAAATGCCTTCTGTTCATTGTTCATGTGGTAAAAACAGCTGCAAGATAACTGGGAAGCCACAGTTTGCAGCCACAGATTTGGTGCCCAGTACTCCCAGACGACTGCAGCTGTATTAACAGAAAATAGCATTTTTTGGATAGCACAGCAGTGCTGCTGAGTCACAGTGTACCATGATAGAGATGCAGCTGTGAAGTTTACTACAGGAATTGCAGGGCAGATGCTCCAGAGATCACTTGTATCTCTTGACAGTTATTTTACAGACACAAAAGATATTTTGAGAAAGGAATCCACCTTATAAGAAACCAAAGTCTAAACAAATCTTGAGTTTTCAGTGTCATGCACTCTAGGCCAGAGGTCAAGAACTTAAACAGCAAATTGTCTAGAATGAGAATTTTCTCTTTTGCTGTGTGTTTGCATCTGCCTAATATGCCAAGGTTAATTTTGTGGCAGTGTAGTTTGGCTACCTTTGCCAACTTTTTCAGTCCAGCGATTTGCAATTAGCTCGTATGTGCACAGAGGCGAAGTGTCGCATACCAGGGATCAATGAACATAACTCCATCAGCAGATTCCTGCAGCTGAAGTAGCAGAAGTTAATGTGGTTTACTGGAGAAAGGGGTTTATTTTTAACATCTTTTAAAGGTACAGCTTATTGGTTTCACTTTTCAGTTCTGCTCTGTTTGTTGGGGATAAGGGCGAGTGGGAGCTCACAAACCTCTCCCTGGCATTTTTTGGCAGTTCTGTCTGCAGAACTTGACCAAGCGTACAAGTGAGGCAGATTTATTACGACTGATGATAATCAAGTTTTGGGATTTACTGAAGGCACTTCAATGCTTAATTGCCACTTAGTGCTAAATAAGCATTTAATAAACCAAAATCAAAGGCTGTTTAAATTATATACTCTAATTACGTAGTACAATAAAAAGAAGTTTTGATTGCAAAGTCAAGTTGTTGGGTAAGGACACCATTTTTAGAGGTCAGCTCAGAGCTAGCAGTGCCTGACTTTACATAACCTTCCTTCATCCTGCAGTAACAGAGCTGTGTGTCTTTCATCTCTTTTATTATAGCAATTCTTCATTTTAATAATGCTGCTGTTGGAAACAGTGCTCACAATATCTCATACCTGCACAGGGTGCCAGGTTAAGATTTTATATTGGGTTCTGTTGAAAGGAGAAACCTGGGCCGTGCGCTGCCTGCTTCTCCTCAGCCTCCCTGTTTCCTGTAACTGTCCCCAATAGGCCGAGTGGATGTTCTAGGCATGTTCAGGTAGGAAAAACAGACTGCAGACATGTATTTCTGCTTTCCTGGTCCTCCTCACTACCTGAACACCCCTGTTAGGGGTTTACATATTGAAATTTGATTTTTTTACTGGCAATTTTGTTAGTGGCAAGAATTCCAGATTCCTCCCCGAAGCAGAAAGTTCATTAGATGTTTGGGCACTAAAGCAGGAGCCTTCCTTGCACCTGAGAGGTAGCAGAGGGCACCTGAGGTGCACAGCTCACCTAATGCACTCTCAGTTTTTTGGTACTCGTACAGAGCCAAAACAGTGGAGCCAAGCTTGGGCCATTACCCTTCTTGCTGGCTTTTCCCAAGAACCTCAACTCGCCCACGTGTGAGATTCCTGAATGTAAAAGGCATGCATTATGAAGCAGCTCAGATCTGCTGCTTACAGCCTTTTGGGAGGGGCAGTTCATTGAGAAGGAAGATTTGTCGGATTCTGCAGGCTGTACAGGTTTTTCTTGGGAGGGTACGTACCATCTTTATTTTTGCTTCAGCATCTGATCTCCTTACCCCAACTGAGACAGGTTGACATTGAGATCACTTACAGAAGACTGGTCCCCAAAATCCCAAGTTCAGGCCACTGTATCAGATGTGTATTTCAGAACTCTTGATCCTAGAATGCGGTGCTTGCACAACTACTGCAGTGTCTTGTATATAAACTCTAAAACAGTCACTTATTTGCATTGACAAGAAAGAAAACTCGGCAACCAGAGGTTGAAAAAAGGTACCCAAACAGGCCACTAAGTGTAAAGAGCCAACCTGGCCCAAAGCATTTATTATTTTTCTCTCAACTATAAATTAGTGAGGTTAGTCAGCCTGAAGTCTAGACATAATACCAGCACTGCCACACAGCCAGTGCATCAGGAAAGATCTGAACTGCTGCTGCAAGGCAAGCACAGTGCAGTGCTAATTACCGTCGGTATGAAATCACTCTGAATGCCAGGCCTGTTGACTCTGTGCTTTTACCACTGTCTTAAAGAGATTAGCAACTTTTACACCTTCAAACCTTATTAAAAATGATCAGAGAAAGCATTATGTCCCATAAACATCATCTCAGAGAAAATATTCTCAATTTTACACTTTCAGCTTTCAATTTGAGTAAAAGTTTTATTTAATTTAGAGTTTCAGCATCTGCAGCTGATGTACTGCAGTCCACAGCAACAACCACTAAGCAATCAGGGGCCATTACAGCATGAATAATGCTGCAAACAGTAAATCACCTAAAGCAAATTATTAAAGTACCTGCTGCATACAGTGAATCATGGGAAACAGCATCTCTAAATTTCCAGTTCAAAAATTTTTGCATGTTGTTAGAAATCTGGGTCATTGTATTCTGAAATTTAATCATTCTATACGAGGCAAACATGATTACATCCCTTTGCCTAACAGCATGAGGTAAGCAATTGCAAAGGAATTCTTCATTACAGGCATTATTTTGGCCATCTTCCCAAGGCAGTTGTGGATTTGATTATCCACCAGGACTGAACTCTCTACAGCAGGAATTCCCACCCACGTATGGCTACTGGAATACCAGGAGAGATGAAAAAATGTGCTGGGTTAAATAATTCAGCTGACATGGAAGCAGAATGTACTTTCTGCTTATGTTTGCTAAGCAACTGCATCAAATCAGCCTTACACATTTAAGGGAAAAAGAATTTTCAGAAAACAAACTTCGGGGTTTGAATCCATTCAAGAACTCAAATCTTGTCCCTGAGCACTGGAAGGAATAAAGACAATAAAACAACTGAATCCAACAGGAGTTTATTACCCACGCATTGCAGATGAAGTTAGACACTTCGGTTGCCAGTCAATGTAAGCTTAAGTATTAATTGACAACTCAGAAAGTGGACAATGAGTACAAAATAATTAACAAGATTATAACAAAAAGTTCTGGTGTATTAATTTTTAAAACATCAGTTGTACACTATTGTACAGCAACCATTATGTGATCCTCAACTAACTCAGGGCTTGCACCTCAAATGTTTTGGTTTGTTTTTAAATCAAGTTCTCCAAGAGATTGAAAGACTGGGTTACAACTGCATTATTTCCCAAAAGGCTACTAACATACAGCCTTACCTTATTCAGACAAAGCTGGTCTGTATTTTATCAACACTTCCTTTTATCAGGGAAGGCAGTAACAAGAAAAAAATAATCTATACATAAAAAAAATTAAACTCCAATACACAATATTAAATATATATATCTATATTGTACTACAGATTTTATATAAATCAAGTGTAGGCCAAATTTTGGCATAATTTTTAAGTGCATTAAGTTTAATACAAAATCCCCCTTTAGACTCTATTCTTACTGTTCCCATAACTTGCTCCTGAACTGATCTTTTTCAATTTTGATACTTTAGATGCCTAGAATTGTCTTAAGAGCTAATTTCCATTTCAGTAATATCACTTATCTTTCATTACACTTTCTAACAAAAATAAACTTGTGGGAAAACTAGTGACTAATTTAGTCAAAGTTCAGTGACTAGTAAAATTCTCCAACTTGGTGGGAATTATTTACATTTACCAGTCAGTATCTTTAAGGTACTATTATCCCATGGACCCTCTCTTCTCCCTTGATCCTTCAGGAACAGTTACTGATCATACACTGCAAGCACACCCTCCCTTCCTTTTCTTACAAGGCCTCTTACCAACAAGCAAATAATTTCTGGTGCAGAATGGAGTGCAAAGAATTTTTTCTAATGCATGGCTAAATTTGCTTCAAAACCAGCATGAGATACTTGCTTTTTAGAGAACACCTAAAGTGCTTTCTTTAGTCCCAAAGTCCTCTCTGCCACACAAAATCATATTTTGTTTCCAAATTCAGGTTTCATTGCCTTTGTTCGGTATTGCAAGAACAACGATGGTAGTGACCCAATTAATCCATCAATTTGACAAATCATTTGCAGTAAATTTTACAAAAGACTTTTTTTTTTTTCTGAAACAAAAAGGTCACTTAAGCTTTCCTGTAGAATGAAGTCTGGCAAGAAGTCATTCAACAAAAAAGTTAAGCTTCATCAAAGTTGTTTGTAGAATACAGAAATAAATTATATAACCGACAAGCATTCTACATTAGACCAAAGAACCACTCAAGAATCAATTACAGTAAGCTGAGTCACAATACCCCAAGAAATAAATTCTCATCTCATTTTATCTACCGACTTTATTCTGGGGTCTCTTCATTCACAGAATTATGGTACAAAGGGGGAGTGTTAGAAATGTGCAGCCAGTTCCACCTGCAGAGAATGAGGTTCCAAGTTATGCTCTTTAGCAATCTTGTAAAAGCAGGGCTAAGTGTGATTTTAACAAGGAAAATCACCCAAAAGCAAGGCTATCACATTTAGAAGCTAAGTCACTTCACACACACTGAGCCTGCTCACAGGTCAGCACGGACTTGCCCTTCAGGACTCATTCTCAGTGTCCTGTGGAAAGAATCAAGTGCAGAACTCCCAGTAAAGTTAGCAGGAGTTGGACAGCAATGCCCCTTCATACCACTGAATTATTAAATATCTTCTGTATTGTGTGTGAAAATTGGATTTTTTAATTGAGAAAGCAAATACTGAAACAGAAACAACTTTTAGCACAACAGATGTATTTACTTACAGCATGCAAGGATTTGTTTTTATATATTTTTGCAGCTAGCAAACCTTAATTATTTACAAGTTCAAAATTACAATCTTTACATAAGTAGCAATTGCTTACAGAAGTTCTGGGTGCTCCCTCAGAAATAAGCAAAAAATGGAGTAAAAAAATACTGAAAACAGTAATTAAAAAAAAAAAAACAAAACAAAAAACATATTAGCTTCTAATATCCAGACAATTTAACACTGTTCTGGTAAGGAAAAAAATATAAACAACACAAAAGCCACATATCACATTTGGAGATGCTGTTTTAAAAGAAATGCATCTTTCTGTTTGGTTTTTCTTTCCAGGAGAAATGCTGTACATAACCTTAAAAAAATCCAAATAAATAAACAAAACCCAACTCCTTTTGGTTTGCCAATTTGCCTTAAAGACACTCCTCCACCTCCTGATCAGAGACCCAACACCTTCACAGGTGATCTCAGAGGAGAAAACAAAAGCAGCACTTTTTTATAAACATGGAACTTGTTTCCAAAATAACAGATTCTAAAACTCACCCAAGATGCAATGCACACATCAGTTCAGAGGGAGGGCCAGGTCAGAAAAATCCCACTCCTATGTTTAAGGCAGTCTCAGACTAATGTGCATCTCTTCAGCCTCTTGGAAAACCTCTTCTTTTCCAAGAGGCTGAAGAGATGCAAATTACTCTGAGACTGCTTTAAACTTAAATTAAAACTTAAATTTGTGTCAAATTGCTCTCTACCTGCCTGTTGGTTTTATTTCATACAATAATTAAAACAGGCAAATTTAGCCTGCAGCTTTTTGTAGTAAATGTGCATTTATACCTGGTTCTATAAAGTAGTATTTCTCTCTGGGACTGAGGGAGGTCACTAGCAGGATGTTTATCACCACATCATAAAGGGTTTCAAGCATATTGTATGTCTGGAAAGACATTTGACTCCCTCTTAAAGCTATGTTAACTTTATAAATAAAAGAATTTGGTACCAGCTGGTGCTCACACTAGAAATATTTTTCATGTTCAACTCTTAGATTAGGGCAAAGAAAGTGCTCTAGTTTTACCTGCTGCTTTGTTATGCCCAATTCCAAGGAAGCTTAGCTTATTAGTAAACAAAATTATACTACAATACAAATACTTTACTTGGATTTTTAAGCATTTGCATGTCTGCGATTCTTTATTTTCATATTGCATGAGATTTTGTGCTAACTGCCCTCTTGAGCCTAACCCCTTATAAAACATGAAAATAGAACTTTTTCTCATGTAAACTTCAGTGGAGTAGTTGCTGAAGGTGCTGTATAAACATTCTGACGGACATTTCCTGGGTAGTGGTACATGGAACATGACATTTTGAACTTACTCAATGTAATGTATAAAAATATAAAAACTACATTTATGACAGTAGAATAAGCTACAGTGCAATTTTCCTTAGCCTGTTGAAAGCTCCGTGTGATCTTTTTCACCCCTTCCAGATCCTCCACAGTACACCTCATGTTTCATTAATACTACAAGAGAGCAAGCACAACTAGAAAATACAGCTTTAATTAATGCTCTTTATGATGTAAACTTGAAGTTTCTAGAAGTCAAATATGTACCTTAAAAAATTAATTTTGCTCACTTACCTTTTCTGTGCTAAAATCTAAACATTTTTGCTATAAATTGTAAAGCTAGGATATTTAAGGAGAATATGCCCTAAATTTCACAGAAAGTTATCCTATTATTTTTAACAGTCCTCAGACTAACTGAATATAATTGAAACTACACCACTTTAGGGCTCTAAGCGTAAGGCATTTTGTGTACATTCCCCCAGCTATTTATTTAATGGCTATCTTGGTGTGTGAAGCCAAATCAGTGGAAATTCCACTCTCAAAATCCCAGAAACCAATTTACCTTTTCCTGCACATTCAGCATTGAACTGCAAAAGAGGAACAGACAGAAAAATCAGATCCAGAAATACACACTGAAACAAGCTAACCATTTTCTACTGGGTACTTTTCAGCTATGGAAGTTGTTTAACATTCTCAGTTCTGAATACCTCAGTTTGAATACATTCATAGCAGTACATTCAGGATGCACTAGAGAAATGCACCAGAAAAATTTTTTACATCATCCAGTGCCAGCGTACCATCAACTTTGTCTGCTTTAAAGAAAGTCAAGTTAATTTTGTAAAACTACATATGAACAGCTTGGAGATATCATCTCCAACACAAACTTTCTGAAAACAAATATTGTTTACAAAAACTGTAGGCTTTGCATTCTATCTAATCACCATATTTCCCAACCAAATGATGCTTTTCCTGAAAAACATGTACAATACAAAACTAAGTCATTTGTGTCTGGTCAGACACTAAGACAGCGCTTCCTGCAGTAACTGTTGCTGATGTGGAAAGAACAGGCAACACATGAACAAAACAAAATGAAACAGCTAAAAGGCACATGAAATTACACTTGAATGGAAAAGGATCATGAAAAGCTAAAAAGCACATAACAAAATCCTGCCAAATTTAGACATCAGAAACTGTTCATGCATTGACCGTACTGTCTTGACTGCTCACAGTCTGTCAATCAGAATGATTACAAGTTTCCTTTAATTGTTACATTGTCTTATAACTATCTAAATCTGGTAAAAGTGATTACCACCTTTAAATATAGTATGTTAATGCATAAAAATACAAATTTTTCTAGAATAAGTATTATATTTTCTAACCAAAAACCTAAAAGCAGTGGTCCTTCTAGATTAGTTTGGAATAATAAGTGAAGCCCATTTCTTTGCAGAATGGGGGGATTTTATTGTTTATATGTTTAAATAATTAATTTTGAATATCCACAGTATAAACAATCTCCAGAAAAATATATCCTCTTGCAGTAACTTACAACACACATTAAAAATACTTACAAAAGGGACTATTGTTCATTTACAATATCTTGAGCTCAAGGACACAATTCCTGGGTCATTTCATTTATGCAATTTCGATCAGGAAAAACTGAACATTCTGGTTAACTTGGACCATGTCAGCAACATGGACAATCTAACATTTTTTAATATCTGCCTAATTACATAGGATTTTCAATAAAATTAGGCATTTTTACATCACAGTATATATGGCATTTCTTAATTTAGCAACAGAAAGGCACAGTTATTAAACCATAAAATACAGTACCTGAATTATATACTCTAGCAATATCTACCAATGCTAATCCAGACATTTTTCTCTGCAAAGGGGGCTAAAGAAAAAGGCTTCTCCTTGTTTATTTAGAAAAATTCAACCTCATTACAAATTTGGTCCGTTAGAAATAACTATTAGCTGAAATACCTTGAAGCAGATGTTCAGGAAAGAATACAAGAAAGCAAATTTAACAGCCTGTGGTCCAATGACTTGAACTAATTACCGTGAAATGGCAAACAAATTGTGAATGGAGCCTTCTGATGAGCTGTCAGACATTGCTGCTGAAGTGTCAGTGTACACAGGTACAGACTGGCAGCCATCCCAGATACATTCACTGCATCACACACACAGACTTGGTTACAGCAGTAAGTCCAAAAACAGCATTTACAGAGGTCAGCACTTCTCCTGGACTGATTCCTGACTGCTGGCCCTAAACCATCCCCAGAGATGTGCAAAGCCCTTTAAATGCTTTGCCTGCTTTGTATTGCTGTTAATAGGAAGACCCTGCTAAAGCCAAGCCGGCCGGCCTTCCCTTAGCAAACTAGTGCACCTCTTCAAAAAGCAACTAGCTCAGTTCTCCCTACTCAAAGTGATCAAACTGCATCAGGAAAGACCAATGAAATGGAAGAGGCAAGGAACAATAAACATGAGGGAGAACCCCACCATTCCATAGGTAATGTAACGATAGGGCAGCTCGACCTCCATGCGCTGCCTGGCTCTCCGCACGTCGTCGTGAGGGATGCGGAATATTTTACATGCCAGCGGAATCGTGGCTTTCTTCATGGCCACTTTTGTTAACAACAGAATGATGACTCCAATCAACAACCGCAGGATGGCTTTTCCAAACACAGTCACAGTGAGGGAGGACAGAGACAAGGGCAAGGCGTGGGGAGGAGGATCCAGCTGCAGACCCAGGACGTAGTTGACGTGAGAGCCACAGGCCACGCCGGCACCGCAGCCCAGGATCTGAGCTGTGTCTCCTCGTGACGTGCTCCACGTGTCCAGGGTGAAAGAGAAGATGCCCAGGGCCAAATGAAGACTGATGATAATTAAGGGTGCGTATTTGTAAGTTAAGTTGAAGTTATCAATCAGGTCCACAACTGGATGGAAGACAACCAGGATAAGAATAGCATACAGAAATCCAGCAATAACATCCTGTTGAAGAGAAAGATATGGTTTCAGTGTAATAGCTATCTAAAAAAAAACCCCTCAAGTTACATTAGCAAGAATACAAGACTAGCTGCTGTAGCGTTAAAAACAACTTATGGATTGCAGTCTTCTCCCTTTTAGAAAATTAAATCTTTCTTATGTTAAACATAAGGTAAGGAATTGCATTTGATCACCTGTTAACAGATCACCTGCATCCTGACCAGATCATGAACGAAGTTATGATCAAAGGATCCTTCATGGAACTTGCAGGTCTGGATATTTTAGTAAGGCCTGTTGTGATAGGGCAAGGGGTGATGGTTTTAAACTGAGAAAGGAAAGATTCAGACTGGATATAAGGAAGACTTTTTTTTTCCAATGAGTGTGATGAGGCACTGGTAGAGGTCGTCCAGAGAGGTGGTGGATGCCCTGTCTCTGGAAACATTCATGGTCAGGTCAGATGAGGCTCTGAGCAACCTGTTCTGGTTGAAGATGTCCCTGCTTATTGTAGGGGGCTTGGACTAGATGATCTTTAAAGGTCTCTACCAACCCAAAACTATTCTGTGATTCTTCTAGGAATTTTTCTGCTGGCAACATTGATCCCTGTCCAGGGCAAGGGCACTCCAACCTACAGTCAGTACAAATCCAGCCCAGCTAAATATGTTCTGCCAACTTCAGTTTGCTGAAACAGCTCAACAGTGGCGCTGAGGACCTGGGGTACCAACACACCCAACGCTGGCAGCAGCAGCAGCAACTGGTGCAGCAGTCAAGGACCGCTGCAGCCAGGAACTAGAGCAGCTTCAACTTTCCACTCCAGCTTCAGAATTAACAATGCTGGAAGAATGTGAACTGTTTCCAAATATTAAAGGAGAGGAAGAGATAACCTCTGTGACTGATTTTCAGTTTTACTATTGTTTTTAAAGGTCTTTTCTTAATGAAAAGGTTACTCAATTATTTTTTACTTCAGCATTAAATTTCAGTTAACTGTTGACTGATCACTAAGTTGCATGGAATTCTCTGCTACTTTTGTCACCTTTGATTGTTAAAGAATAATTTGTGCAATCCAAGCACTACAAAGTAACCTGCCTTCATTTTCATGCTTATCAGCTCTTCCACACGAGCCAAGAGGTGGGACTTCAGCAGTCTGTATTGCTCCAGCTTCAGTAAATCATTTTTATTTGCTTCCACTAATTGAAAGCTTGATAAAAGCTCTAATAAAATTGACTGATATAAACATCAGACTTGTTCATTTCAGAAGCTACAAAAACTTTCTGCTCTATTTGCCACCTACTCCCCACAAACTTAGGCACTGTGGTTGATGTATATTGCAGGCACCACATGGTGAACTGTATTCCCTCAAACTCTGCAGAGGATTCAGATGTGAAACTCCAAAACAGCCCTGTCTGCATGCTCACTATTTGTTGCATGACTTTGTTCTATGACATTTTGTGTCAGCTGAACTATTGGTCCATCACATCATCCTTGACGGAGTGGCTTTAGACTGGGAAGCCCCCTAACTACTGATGCAAAAATGTCATTTAGATTTTCTGAGCTGCCTTATTTTTCCATGCTCCTTTCACACCGTGTTCATCTACCAGCTTTTCTACTCCCTACAAGGCTTACCCTTTTCTGTCTATTAGCTTTTCTTCTAGCACGTGATCCTCAAAAACATCTTTAGCAACCTCCATTGCAATTACCACTTTGTAGTGTTCTTGTTTTCTCATTTTTACACTGCATACAATTGTGTTTCAGTCTGGGAGTCTTAATTCTGTTTAATAAATGAGTTTGTTTTTCCAAGATGACAACTTTGTTACCTGGTTTAAGAAACTCTACTAGATGAAACTCTAGCACTCTGAAATGCTCATGCTTTGAGCAGCCAATGTGGAGTGAACTTTAACAGCCACTTTCTCATTCTGCAAAATGACTTCTACTCTGTAGAGGAAAATTTAGTCTACACTTTAGAGGAGTCATCAATTTCTGCACTAAAAATGGCATTAAATACCTCTTAAGTTTCAACTGTGGATTTAGTTCGTAAAAGATAAGTGTAAGTTTAGCATGAGAGCCACTCTTAGCCATTTTATCAATTTCTATGCTAAAGAAATGCAAGTCTTCTGATTCTGTATGGTAGAACATTCAAAAAAATACATCTGTATGCAATTTTGCCCTGTAAAACCTTCAATGTGATTGAAGTTTATAAAATCAGAACAGAATTAAAACAGAAGTTTAGTAGTAGATTAGATTATTTTCTTACCAAAATTGAATGCATTCCCATATAAATTCGACTACAGCAAACCAAAGAACACCAGCAGAATGCCAGGATCAGTCCAAACATAAGGGGATACTGGTAGGGAAGAAAAATGCAGAAACTGTATTACAATTTGGAAAAAATAAATTAAAAAAAAATCACTCTATGAGTATTTTCTAATTAATTCCAGTTAATGCCACTGATGCTTACCCTTTTCTTTGCCCTAGCCTCCACAGGCCTAGCAGAGCACCTTTTCATAAAGTCACCATTAAGCCAAGCTTTCAACCTTCCCCTCTCTTCTCTGCATTCAAACTACTTAAATTTCAGTGCTTTGGTCACATCTTTCCAAAGCAGCAAGAAATGAATAGCAGTTGTCTTGCCATGCTCTGATATCCCAAATTGACCACATAGGCAGAGACAAGGGTGTTAAACTGTGCAACAGTTTTACACCAGGTGAAGCAGCTCCATCACATACCAGTACTGTTAGCAATTACCCAGGCAGAATGGAGTGGCTTCACTTTTTTTCCTGAAAAGGAGAAACTCATAAACAAATTACAAAGAAATTCAATTCCTTCCCTCAATTCTTTGTTTCAGAGTTTCTGCAATCATTGACTCAATCTCTGGACATCAGCATGAAACTCCTAAAACAGTAATCTTTTTTGCTCTTTCCAAACCCACATAGGTTTCCTCCTACAAACCATATATTGTTAAATAAAAATCATGAAATAATTACTTCAAATTATTTTTGTCTTGTCACATTTTATTAATAAAGACTGTTTACCAGGAAAAAATCAAATACTTACCTTTAATAAACACATATCTTACATAGTTTCATAATAATAATAATCACAGATCAGGAACATAGTTTTTTAACTTTCTCAGGTTTTGGATAAAACTATGCTAATTTACATATTACAGCATGGTAAGAAATACTTTCCCCACTATTGCAAAATGTTCTACAAGAGAGGACACAGCTTCCTTTTTTGCCACTATTCTATAAAAGACACAGTCACAAGATAAAATGGCAAGTTTCCAAAATTGCTTTCCTTCCTACGATAAACATTTTCAATATAAACAGGCAGTCTAGATGTACTCAAACCTAGAAATAAAATCTAAGAATTACAGACAGTTTTCTTGCCCTTTCCTTTGTTCCTTTTACAGGTAACCTGAAGGGTAAAATTTCCAACAGATTAGAGAAAACACTTTTAAAATTACTGGAGGAAGTTCTGTGTCCTCTGTGAAGGCCATTTAACAGATTTGTAAAGTTCCAAAATCTGCATTTTTCCAGCCTTCCCTGAATTCTCAACTCCAGGACCATGCTTGCATGACATACCTAAAATAACCATTCTCAAACTAAGAGAAAATCAGGAAGCTTGCATTTCACATAAGAAGCAGATTTCACATTAAAACAAATTCTAAACACCCAGTTTATAGCTGTGTTCCATCTAGACTAAACTCTACCTCCTGTAGCAACATTTGTCTTTGCTTCTATCACATTCATCTACAAACTGAATCTAAACAGAACTGTGTACTTGTAACTCATTTCTGACTGCAATGATGAAGGAACAAATTCAGTTTCCTGCCTTTTGGAACTCTGCTAATCCCAGGCAATGCACCCATAACTCTGTCACACAGACACACAATTGCAGAGTTATCAGATACCAAGACTGCTACAGCAGCCACAAAAGTAGCCCTTTTGGTACCTTACAAGTGCAGCCACATCCCTCTGCCCCACTGTGCTTCTCCCTTTGCACAGGCCTCAGGGTAGATGGAATGCTGCCTGCACCAGCCACACACCCTCCCTGCACAGTGCTGCTCCACTCTCCCTCCCTCCCACAGGACTCCCCAAGCAGAAATGCTGTCTGTGCAGGGACAGCTGTACCCTGTGGCCTCTGAAGCAAGGAGCACCTTTGAGTTTCAAACTGTTTGGCCATCACTTGATACCCTGTATGTCCATCCTTGTCTCTTGATACACATCTTTGGTGCTTTCAGAGCCCAGAGATAAGGCTTTTCTTTAATAAATGACTTGTCCTGTTTCTGCAGTGATGACATGCAGTACCTGACAGAAGCAGAGGCTGGAGCTTTAGCAGGAAGATGAATGAAGTGCCAGGCTCAGCAGCCGTTCATGATACTGTGGGTAAGAGGGTGGAATTGGGGGAGGGAAGAGGTTGGAACAGCTAAACAGCAAAATCCTGAGAACAAGGAGTACGAAGGAAATAGTTAGATAAGAAGTCTTATTTTAGAAGTCCTGAGCAGATGACTGTAAACAGCAGAAAGACTACAGTAATTCTGAAAATGAAAGAAGAAATGCTTGCTGTCAGGGAACTCACAGGGGAGGAGTGTTTCAGGAAGAAAGAAACAGAAATTCCAGCTCTGAAGAATGTTTTGGAAAGATTATTTGGCTCTGTCATATCTCACTCTAATGCTGAATAAATATCCCTTAAACCATCTGAGGATATGGGTTAGTTTAGTTCCTCTGTAGCAAAGCAGAGTAGAATAGCTTGGGTTGAAAGAGACAGTTCAAAGCCATCTAGTCCGAGTCCCCTGATAGGGGCAAGGACATCTTTAACCTGAACAGGTTGCTCAGAGCCCCATCCAACCAGGCCCTCAATGTTTCCAGGGATGGTGCATCCACCTCCTCTCTGGGCAACCTGTGCCAGTGTTTCACCACCAGAAGTAAAAAACTTCTTCCCTGCATCTGATCTAAATTAACCCTCTGTTCAGTTTAGAACCATCACCCTTCCCCTATCACAGAAGGCCCAAAGGAGTTGGGTCTTTCTAGTTCTGATCACAAATTAAGCCAAACACCCTGCATCCTCCTCGGCCTGTTTGCACTCCTACCTTTTAAAGCAGCCACTGGGTTGAGGAACTCCCAGAGCACCAATCTGGTAGCACCTGCTTAAAATCTGCCCTGCGGTGGTAAGGCAGGCGTCTATTTGGTCCTCACACGCAGGGTTAAGTGCACAAGGTGACTGAAGGAGAATATCAGCACTCCCACACACACCTCTGAGCTCCACAGCATGCCGAGTCATACCACCAACAGGGGACATCACCTGGATCCTTGTAAAAAATGCTGATGCCATAAACTTACTTTCAAATTGTTGCCTGCAAGGCTGAGGTACCAGCTAACCTTATAATAATACTGTTTTACAACAATAGATTTCAGAAATCTCCTCTCCCAATTACAAATGAATATTCAAAGAAAAAAAAAAGAACAGCTTTTACTATGTTGTCTACTTAAAACATTTTATGAAAGAGTAATGTGAAAACCTGAATATAAACTCATATCAAGTGTTCAGGGAAGAAAGTCATAATCACTTTTCATTATGTAGACTCAGGTCTTTACTTAAATGAGAGATACTAAGCAAGACACCTGAATTCCAGCAGTTTTAGTCCCATGGCTCCTGGCATGCCAGATCGGACCTACAGAGGCACAAATGACAAATGATCACAAGTTTACTTCTATCCTCTTCCCCGATTCACTGTTGGTTTTACTCATTTAAGTATCAGAAGGCAAACTGGCATCACATGTCCGTCCAGATGAGGGTGTGGAAGGTTGTCAGAGATCACAGCTGGGAGAGGTAGACACAGAAACCAGGTTTCATTCTCTCAGCTTGTTCTTTTTGATGAAAGAATTGATGTATCACGGCTCTGTGACAGATTGGGTGTCACTTTCAGTCAGATATTCAGGAACAGCCCATTTTGGATACAAACATCTCAAACCCTGTCTCCATGCCCTCAATTAAGACCATCTTATGGTATATCCTCAAAAACTCCTTATATCTCCATAGCTAACATGCCACCTCAACAATTCTGAGTGTCAGGAGTTTTTTGAAATGCATACTGCTTTCTTTTTTTTATATATAAATTAAAGAAACCCAAACCAAAAGCATCTTATTTAAAAAATTAAAAAAAAAAGTGAGTTGATTTCTTAACTTCACATACTAAGACAAAGCTAGGGATAAAGCTGACTGAATAAACTACTCATTGTGTTTCAGATCTCAATTTTGTTCCCATATCTAGAATCTTGTTTTAATTTTGAATTAAATTCATATTTGTAAAACAGCAGTGAAACAACTCTCAGTGAGTCTTTGGGAACTTTATGCCCTACGTTTTTAAAAGAAAACTCTGATCCTACAGAAAATTCCACTACATCCTCCAAAACAGGCTTGCAAACTTCTGACTGGACTACACACAAAACCCTTCCCTATCCTCCTCCCTCTCCTTGATCTTTTTGCCAAGAGTCTTAATAACATAACTATTGTTTAAAAATGCTCATAAGGAAACAATCTGTCCTAAAAGCTTTGACCTAGGTCAGAAAATTCCTTCTTTCATAAGGGAACATTATTAAAAGACATTCTAAATGCTCGCTTGTTACCTTTTTTAAGCACATTCTACACTGGAGAAGTTTCTAGCACCCACAAATAATTCCAAATAAACTTTCTAATATTTTCAGTGTTCTTCAGTATTCAATGACCTTTTTAAATCGTATCATAACTCAAAAATCCAACTTGAGTTCGAGACAATTATTCTGGGCTAAAGTTCACTGAAAGAATCCAAGGAGCACTTGCTGCACCAGGCTTTTAATAAGGTATTTGGGCCACGTATTGGCAATAGTCATATGAAAAGCTATAATCAATATTTATGGGAATGACTCCAGCACCCTGGCTGGACAGATGAGTTCAAAAAGCATAGCATAAAAATGATTTTGTGAAGGGAGCAGAAGAAAAGGGAAAAGAGGTTTGTTAGAAAAGAGAGACCACCAATCAGTCATTTTAGGAAAAATAAACTTTTTCTTTCAAAATGGCCCAGGTGATAAACTCCACTGGTTAAGCTACATTTAGCAATTATTTTCTCCCTTCTTGCACTGACTAACATTAATATCAAGAGACATAAAAATCTCAGTCACATGGCACTACAAGACCCTTTTTTTGAAATTCCAAGATAAACTTTTCAGTGCCAGTCCTGAAGGAAGTTAAAATATTTAATTTTCTGCTACACCTAATCTGAAAAAGAAAGTAAGGAGTAACAATAGGAATTAGCTTGTTATTTCTTTTCATTGCACTCATTAAAAAAATAATCCCTCTCTGAACACA